CACATTTGAGATATAATCGTATGATTGTGCAAGTTCTGTAAATATAAGCCTTTGCCTGAGGACTGATATCCAAACGCAGGTTTCAGGTTCAAGATAATTCAGTGAGCACACTGAAATTCATTTTCTGGAGGGGTTGAAGGGAGCGGTAGATTTTTTTTTTCCTTTTTCTAAGTAACGCCTTTGTTGGAGTTTTTCAGCTTCTCCTGGGGGTTTTCACAAAAGAGTTATTATTTGTACTTCCAAAAGTGGTTTTAAGCAAATAAACATTGTAGAAAGGGCTGTGAGAATTTAATCTGTCTTTTGCAAACAGATCGTTTGTTAAAAGGCCTTAACGATAATCATATGGCTATTGGTAAAGTCATTTGTGTGCTGAAAGGTGTCAGATCAGGGTGCCATTACTTGGAAGAGCCATTTTACTTGGAATCTATTTTTCCAAAGGAAATGGACAGAGTCCTGTTGCAGAAATAGCATTCCACCTGGTACCAGCATTTTAAAACAGTCCTATTCTAATCCATAAAACATTTCTAGTTTTCCCTGAAGCTTTGGGCTGCCTTGCGCATGAATAATTTTTGGAGAAACACCCACGCCTGTTAGCCCATTGTTCGTAACTATTGGAAGAAGATTAACCAGAGCCTGGAAATTGCGTATCTGCGTATGCCTCTGAATCTGTCACAGGAAACCAAAGGAGATAAGTGGCTTTTACTTTGGATGAAGAGGTAAAATTCCCCTGTAGAAATTCTAAAGATGATTCACAAGTTTCAAAATGTTTAATGCTTCCCTACAATGGAAACCTGTCTCTCTGTCTGGGGGGATGGAAATTTGTATCTCGTTCTCCTGCTCAATCTTTGTCTAAAAGTATTTCATGGATATTTTGAGAAAGTGCCACATTTAGGAAGGGAGAAAATGAAATTAGCATTTTAACATCTCACAGGGGAAAAAAATAAACCGAAAGTTCAGTTGTGATTTTTTTTTCTTGCTTAATGCTCGTTCAAAACAAACTACTTTTATTGCTCTTTAAAACTACACACGCGCGCGCGCGCACACACACACACACACACACACACACACGAGGTTTTCCACATCGACACACTTCTACTTTGTGGGGAGTAGAAGATAATGTGAAAACGACATTTTAAATGTTCTTTTTTTTTTTAAACGAAAACTTTTAACAAGATTAAAAAATAAAAGCTGATGGTGGGGGTAGAGATTCGAACACAGTCAAGTAACTGGTAAGTGACAGATGGAAAAGCATATGCACCTTTTAAGGCCTTGTAATCTTTGGATTTACTGTGAAAAGTTTCAGAAAAACCATGGACTCTCACTGCGTCACTGTCCGCGGACCCTGGAAAATTGCCGTGAATTCGTTATATACACACCTCCTCGCTGGGGATGTGTACATACTGGTTGCCTCACCAGTTTCCGAAATGCTTCCCAAATATGTCATTTCATGAGCTTGCTTTCTGCATTTCGACTAAGTTCAATGGCTCCTGCCTGTGACATTAGTTATGCAAGACTCAAACAGGAGAGCCGGCACGTTTTGGGGGTGAGTTTTAAGAAATCTATTTGTGACCTTAAAGAAATTCTGTGGGGATTGTGTGGGCTATCCAATACATTCTGTGATTAGAGTCTACATTTAGGCCTTGACCTATTTTTAAGCTAGTTTCTCTTCTGTATGCTTTTCCAAAGGAGAAATCTCTCTTCTGAAATATTATTATTTTGAAAAGCAGGAATAAAAACACAAGTGACACAGGGGAGGTAGCCCCTCCGGGAGCTCCTCCCTGCCACCTGCCCCAGCCAGGAAGGGTCAGGGTGTTGCGTGAGTTGTTCACTGTTGTACCCCATACCACCTAGAACAGTATCCCACACACAGCAGGTACCTTCTAATCTTTGTGGAATGAATTCGCCGAATGAATTGTATTTCCCATTCTCTCTTGTGTCCCCTGGTGGTTTGCAACATGCTCTATATTTGGTGAATTTGCTGAACTACGAAATGGGGCCAAAGACATAAAACTTGAATATTTATGCACAATTTTTTTTTCAGTGGACATTTTAGTTTGCAGCTGGTTGGTGGCCTTAGCTAGCAGGAGGGATGAAGAAGCAAAGGCGATTTCTCACCCCTACTGATAGCAAGGATTGGTGGTGGAATGGAGAGTCTCGAGTGTGATTTGCATGATATTTGCATGTCATGTTCCTTTCCATTTCTCAAGTTCCAATATATCAGCACTCTGTTTATTCAGAGGGAGGAAGAGAGTGGTCTGAAAGCAGATACAAACATTCTCCTGAGCTCATGTTAGTTTCTTTTTCCAGAAAGAAGTTTCTAGAAGCCTCACAGGGCTTGCCAAATGAAAAGACAGGCCTGGTCCCTAGAGATGTGCTGAGAGCCGTGTTTACCTCACAGCGTGAGCCCAGATCTTGTTTCCTAAGGAGAACATCAGCAGCTGTCCCTCAGCAGTGACATTTACAGTTACCAAGTGACAATTCATGCATCTTTCCAAATTTATCAATATTTTTGTCTCTTGCCTCCCACCCCACCCCTCCACAGAAATTGCGCTAACAAAACCATATAGATTAAATGTTGAAGCAGATGATTTATTTGTTTTTTTTTTTTTTTCTCAGAAGGGAAACAATTTCCACAGAGTTGAGAATTGTATTGTGTCCCCCCAGTTGGAGCAAGAGCTCGTGAATCCGCTTTCGAAGGGTAGCGACAGAGTCTGAATTACATAACTTTATCTAATAACCCTGGGTTGGCGCAGGCAATTTTTAACAGCTTCAGGAAGCCCAATGCTAATGCATTGATTTTCCTTTAATAGAATTTCGTCGTTGAAGGACGGTGCTCAGTTGAGGGCACCCTTCAATCTTAACCCATGCGAAGACTGTTCCTTTCCAGTTGAGCTCCATTCATTTCTGGTTGAATAGGTTAAGCAAAGACAGACCTCGCTGTTCTCAATTCACTTTATGATCCTCCCATCATAAAAAATAATATCAGCACCTTGCTTTTCATGTCAGAACTACATTTGAGCCGCTATTCCCTATGCCCATGAGTAAATCCCATAAAAGCCGCCCCGTTGTACTGTTGCTATTTTTCCTTGTGGGTGATTGATTGATGGATGAGTGCTGACACTTCAATGAAGCTATTTCGACTGCCATCTCAATCCGATGATGTGAGGGGTATATTTTCTGTCCATGCCTCATTACTTTAGAATGACATTCCTGGAACTTCATTTACTTTTTCCCTCCTTCCCCGAAGCGCCATATTTTTTCCCATCTAGGTTATGCATGCCATAAAAAAAGCAATTTGCTATTATATGTGGCATAAGGGCAACACTTTCCCTAGGAGGTAAATAAGAAGTTTTTTTTTTTTTTTTAAATCCCGATGTTGAATTTAGGGATCATGTCAAAACTTCCAAAGCAGTTTCAACAGGCCGGCTTCCGTGAGGAAGGGTGAAGAGGATATCTGGCTTCGTTCTGTGGGTGTTGAGACTTTTGTGTGTGTGACAACCTTGGTAATTAAAGCAACGACAACAAAATTTTTTCTTTTTGTTTGTTTGTTTCAGAATCATCTAAGTTCCTAGTGTTGTATGTAGAAGAGTTTAACTATTTTGCCTATAGCTGAGTAGGAGTTTATAACACAATCCAGACTTTATCTGTCCTTTGAGAATAAGGAAACTCGTTGTTTAAATGCAATGATAGATTTATCTATTTATAGATTGCTTTCCGTTGTATAGAAAAATGCGCAAATAGAGTAAACAGCTCTCCCCCTGAATTTCCAAACCGTGCACTGGGTATGCAGGACTTTTAATATTAAAACATGCTCTTAGCTTTTCCAAGTTGACTCAGGACCTGATTTTAATCTGTGTAATACAGTATTCCCGTTAATAATAACGTATAATTAAGACATCCGTTAAAAATCCATAACATTAATTTAATGGAGAAAATCTAATACAGTTCTATTGGAATTTTTACGTTAAATTAACTTTAACGGGCTTTTAATGGATGTCTTAATTAGATCTCATTATTAACGGGAATATTCCACAAATTAAAATTGGGCCCTCAAAGTTTTAATGAAAAAAGTTGCAGGAACCCATTTGAGACGGACACCCTCTTTCATGCTTTCTGTTGCTGCTCAAGCTACGCTGCGTTTCCAGGTCCATACACAGCAGGTTCTGCAGAAGGAGATCACCGGGCAAGAAGGCAGCTGAGCTCTCCACCCTGTCGTGATCTCATCTCCTTGCTTTCCTCCAGATCCCACATCGCACCAGTTTCCCCAGTTCTGCCAATTTGCAGGTCTTGTATCTGTACTTAACACCTTTTTTTTTTTCCCCTCTTGTAACCAACAAAGACAATGATTAAAACGACGCCCACCACCGCTTGGGAAAAAGTCTTTGGCAGTAACATGGTTAAGCCCGACTGCGTGAACAACTTTCAGGGAAGATGAACCTTGTTCAGAGGTCTCCTTGGCTCCAGCTCTGGTCTGACTTCATAATTCTTCCACTCTGCAGAGATGCATGGCTCCCCAGGGCGGGGGCAGGACTGGGCAATCCAGGTGCAACCATAATTGTTGCTCTGAACAGAAACATTTCCTTTAGACAAACGTTCCCAGAGGGGTTATAAATAGGAAATGGACATCGCCATGAAAAGTAGGCTTCCAAGGGTCTGCAACGAGGGCAACTCGCTTGGCCCTTAGACTATGAAGACTCATACTCCCCCACCCTTTCCTGTCAAGTGTTACAGACCCACGGAATAATTACATCAATGTTCTCGGTCATTATTTTTCTTCAGTGGCACTTTGTTTTCTCGTGACAGTGAAAAGGGGACCATGGAGACGAGACTGCCTCATTGCAGTTTATCAATGAAAATCTAATATTGTCCATAAGCAGAGAAGTGGAAATCAATACTTCATTACCAAATTGTTAGTAAGAATGAAGAGAGATGGCTGGGGTCAATATTTTTTTTTCCTTTTTCCTTTTTTTTTTTTTTTTCCTTTTCTCTTTCTCTCTCTCTCTCTCTTTTTTTTTTTTTTTTTGGCAGTCTTCTCAGAGCAGGGTGTCAGGAGGAGTTCAATGTCAGAAGCAGGTGATACAGCGAAGAAGGACTCAGTGGGAGGGAGATCCAGGCTGGAAAGTTGAAACTAAGGCATTTATCCTGTAATGGGAATCAGAATAACAGAAAAAGATGCATTAATTTCTGAGGAATAGCTCAGTTCGTTACTTCCCCCAGTAGCCGAATTGCCCACCTGCATGATCTCATTTGTATTAAGGGTCTGCATAGAGTCATAGTTAAATCTAGTCTAGGGTGGGATATAACCATGTGATGGGACCTAGAAAGGAAAAGCCAGTTTAGAGGGAAAAAACACCTTTAAAATATAATGTACGGAAGAGATATGTATACACTCTTGTTCATAACAGCATTATTCACAATAGGCAAAAGGAAGGATCAGCCTCGATGTCCATTGATGGATGGATGGGTAAACAAAATGTGGTATGTGTATAGATACAACGGGATGGTATTCAGTCTTGAAAGGAAATTCTCATACATTGTACAACATGCATGAAACGTGGGGATATTATGTTAAGACAAAATAAGCCAGTCGTAAAATTCTATATGACTTCACTTCCATGAGGTACCTAGATTGGTCAAACATAGAAGCACAAAGCAGAAATGGCAATTGCCAGGGGCTGGGGAATGGGGAACTGTTGTTTGTGGGTATAGTTTCAATTTTGCAAGACAAGAAAATTCTGGAGAAGGATAGTAGTGACGGTTGCACAACAATGGGAATGTACTTAATGTCACCAAACTGTACCCTGGAAAATGTTTCAGATGATAAATTTTATGTTTCATGTGTTTTTCCATAATTAAAAATAAAAACTACAATATACGTTCCCATTATAAAGCATTCCAAAAAAGAAAAAAAAAATTAACTTATGGTCCCACCATCCAGAGGGAGCTCCTAGTCACATTCTGTTCTATTTTCGTCTAGTTTTCTCTTCCCATGAATTTGTGAAAGGCGTACATAGTCATAAGTACCCACTGTGCAATTTTCCTCTCTGGTGTTTTCCCCCACTTGGATGCCCCATTGTAAGTAGCTACACGAGTTCTATCACCTATGCTATCAGAATTTACTAAAACATTCTCATGATGTTGGACATTTAATTTGCTTCCAATGTTATTCAGTAATGGTTAACACTGTGATAAACATCTGTGTAAGCCTTGAAGTTTGTTGGGATATATTCATAGGCTTAAATTTGCCAAATGTGGAATTCCTGAGTCAAAAGATAGGAACACTTTTGTTGTTGGGGAAATGCTACTTAGAAGTATGCTATGTTATGTGAGATTAACTGGGAGAATTTTTTTTTTTTCAGATACGTGTTATCTGGATTACTGTAAGAATGCGTATAGTTTCCATTAGCCCAACCTGGGTGGCATTCCTTGTTTACATCTTATTATTTATGTTTATTTTAGTGAGGAAAAACACCTTTGGCTTTGGCTTATAAGTAATCAGTCTTTTGGAAGAGGAGAACTTCCAAGTTTCTGGTAGAAGAATAAAGACACGTTGAAAATTGTTGCCATTTGATGTGTGCAAAGAAATTATGCACAGAATACCCATGACAGATTTTATAAACGATTCTTTGGTATGAAATAGTAGGACTCCAATCCTAGAGCCCATTGTTGTGTACCTACCAAATGCCAGATACTTTTTACATATTACCACTAACACTTGAAACAATCTCATTTTATTTTATTTTATCTTGTTTTATTTTTTAAAAAGATTTTATTTATTTATTTAACCACAGAGAGAGAGATCACAAGTAGGCAGAGAGGCAGGCAGAGAGAGGGGGTAAGCTGACTCCCTGCTGAGCAGAGAGCCCGACACGGGGCTCCATCCCAGGACCCTGAGATCATGACCTAAGCTGAAGGCAGAGGCTTAACCTACTGAGCCTCAGGTGTTCCCAAACAATCTCATTTTAAAAAATAAAAGAGCCTCAAGGAGGCTTGTGACTGGTCCAAGGTCACACGGCTAATGAAAAGCAGAGATTGCCCTTGAATTTAGTTCTTCCCATTTGGAAGCTTCCGTGCTCACTTCAGGCACCCCCCCGACCCCCCCCCCCCCTTAGATTATGGATGGTCACCATCAGTGGAAGGAGTCATTTCCCTTTGACATTAGGGTTGTGTTTCAGAGACAAAGTTACCTTCCCTCCGACTTGGTTGGAATGCCGTGGCGGGTCCAGAAACTTGAAGGAGAATGGTCATGTTGTTGGAGGAGGAGAGGAATGCAGTTAAAGAAAGAGAAAGAGATTTGAGGGTGGAAATTGTAATGGTATTAGGGGAAAGTAGGAGGAGGGAGAGAGGGAGAAAGGAAGAGAGCAGCCTATTTGCTTACAGGGTGAAAGTGACCTACACTGGAGGCCGAATGAAGTCCTGGGTTGTGGGTTGACGCATGTTCTGCGTGAGGCCCTCCCTCTCTCCTCCCTGACCATGATATTAATGTGATGCCAGGTTTAAAAAATTTTGTTTCATTTGTTGCTTCCTTGAACCCGCTCCAGATTTGTTCAACACTTAGACTCCTCTGGCTGGGTTTCTCTTAGGACAAAGTTTGCCCTGGGGAGAGGAGCAAGGAGAATGAAAAAATAATTGTATTATATTATAGTCCCCTTCTTGGAAATTGTCAGCACACATCAGCATATTAAAGACTCTGAGAAGTCCTGCCACCAAAACCCAACCCAACCCAACACTTTGTTTAAGCACTTTGTTTAACCCAGTGCTTCCCAGATTTGTTTGATGACCCTTTTCTTCCCCACAAAACACTCAACGAATATACTTGAATGTAGTTTTTCTGGAAAATATCTTCATGACAGATCTTTGGTTAAAAACAAGGAAGTTGCTCAGCTCCTAAGATCTCAGTCCTGACCTCATTATTGACTTTCTGTGATTTTTTTGCTCAGGTCCCATGGCTTTCTGGGGCCTCAGCATGAAAGGAGCCTGTTGTAGTGATAACTAGACATTTTCTGAGTTTACTCTCAGCTACCCATGCTGAGTCCGTCCCTCACCTTGAGTCAAGCTCACGATGCTGCAGTGTGGGAGGGTGTAGTGTCTACATCTTCCAGCCTAGGAAAAGGCCATTTAGGGAGGTGAAGCCGTTTGGCCTGCAGTCAGCTGGCTGGTAAGTGGGCAAGAGGGTACTCAGGTTCAAGACTGCTTCTTAGATGGTCTTGTGATGGCTTGATATTGTCATAAAGTGTTGAACACTAACATTATTGACACTTCAGGGACATTTCTCCATGAGTATCTGTAGTTACTTACTGAGCTAAATTCTAGATATGAGCATGTTCTATTAAAACCTGACTATGATGCTATTTCTACCTGACAAATCTCATACACCACCATGATGGATGGAAATGGTGGATCCTTCCAGAAAGTCAGTGTTCCCATACTAAAGAGAGTGTGTCAAGAGGAGAACTGAGTCGTAGGCCACTTTGGGATGATAGACCTTTTCTTACCATTGCTTATCTGAGAAGAAGAAGAAAATATACCTTATTTTTTTGTAGACCTAGAGATGAGACCCTGGCAGAAAATCAAAGGAATGAAGGGAATGAGAAGTAGCAACGTTACTTCTCACTGCTCAGAACGCAGCATGTAAACTACTCTTGGTTGTGTCTCCACTGGTTTTTGAGGCCGAGCTTGGCTGCAGCATGGGTTTTTTTTTTCCTAGTATGTTAAGCTACTACTATAAAAATAAAACAGAAATAAATAAAAATTTTAATTACATATCTAAAAAGTCATTGGCACAGTTCATTAAGGAGAGTTTGTGAGGGAGAGCCAGGCCAATAGAAGCAATTATTTTTGTATTAATTACATAGCCACCAACAGATGTGTAGAATTATATTTACTTTAATTTAGCCATGCTAGAATTATTTTTTTTTTTAAGAGAAGGGGAGAGTGAACAGGTGGAGGGCCAGAGAGAGAGAGAGAGAATCTTAGGCAGACTCCATGCCTAGTGCGGAGCCTGACACGGGCCTATCTTAGGACCCTGAGATCATGATCTGAGCAGGAACCAAGAGTAAGGTGCTTAACTAACTGAGCCACTGAGGTGCCTCTGGCCGTGCTAGGGTTTTTACTCCCTCTGGCACATCATTTTGGTTGGCCCTTCCTCTCCAGGCCCTTGCTCAGGCCTGCCTTCCTCTTTCTCTACTTTGTCCTGTTCTTCTCAGAGTTGCGCTGCTGTCCCTGGGGCTCAGGCGGAGTGCTGTGGGTGCTGCGAGGATGGGCATGCCACCAGTGTTGAATGGTTAGGCACTGGGGGTCTTAGGCACCTTGCAATGTGTGGGACAGCTTCTTCTCACAAGGTAGTGTTGGCCCTCATCCTGCACCATTTTTGAAAATGTCTCTGTAGGTTGGGGTTTCTCAACCTTGGCACTCTTGATATTTGGGGCTGGATAATTCTTTGTTGCGGGAGACTCTCCTGGGCATCGTGAGACTTTTAGCAGCATCGCTGGCCTCTACTCGCTAGATTCCAGGAGCAGCCCCCTTACCCTCGAGTTGTGACAGCCAGAAATATCCCAGACATTGCCAAATGTTCCCGGGGCGGGGAGCAAAATGATCTATCACAGCGGTTCAGAAGCGCTGACATAGTGGAAAACATTTTTATAATTATTTCAGCCTAGACCCTAATTTCATTTCACATATAAACACAAAGTCTTTGGTGCACCGTTTCTTATACACAGCATTGTCCAGAAATAAAGCAACCTCACAAACAAAGAGAAACCGATTTGTTTTCTTTGGAATTTTAAGGGGAGTTATTGTCCACTGAAACAGAAGCACAGAAGCAAGTCACCTCTGGCGTTGCCATTCGTGGTATTTGAGACGCCCATTCAACAGCCCCGAAACCGACAGGCAGTTGTCAATGGCATGTTCACTGATTGTCTACCTATAGAAACACACAACAGATGGCCTCACCATCCTTCAAGAACCTCGTGCCTGAGTGTGGCCCATGGAATAGCAGCATTGGCATCGTCCCTGAGCTTGTCAGAAATGCAGCACCCCCATCCCCCGTCCTGACTCAGAACCCACATTTCATAGGATCCCGGGGGATGATATTCATGTTTCAGAAGTCCTGTTGGTGTGACCTTTCGTGCCCAAACGTTTCC